GCCGAGGTAGTTCCTGTACCGCCGGTGGTCTGCCCCAGTGCTCTCGCTGCTGCTACTGCTGCTGCTGTCACCGTGCCCTCTGCCAGCCCCAGCATCCCCACGGCCACCGTCGTGGTCATGTTCGTCGGCCCCATCAGTACCAGCCACGTAAGTAGGACCTTCACCCCCCTCCTCTTCCCCGTTCTCATCAAAAGTGTCATCTCCACTGTCATCCTCCTCATCCAGGAGGCCACCGGTGTGGGAGGAAAGCCCGTTGACTCCAGTGCCGTGGTGCTCTCCATTGTCAGCATCATCAGCATCACGTGCATCCTCCTCCTATGGAGGTGACAAATGGAGACAAATGCAAAGGCTTGCAGGGCACAGATGCTATCAGCACTGCTTGCCACGCAGGCCAAGCACTACTCTGCCTGACACCAGATTTGGGGCTAAGCATGCTTTTCTGGCAGAGAAAATGCCCCTCTCTACTCACTCACCAGGAAACCAAGGCCATTCCCATCATGGGCACTTGCATCCTCATGGTCCACCTGGTTCAGGTGCTGAGCCTCCCCAGCTCTGCCTCCTTTGTCTTGGCCACCGTGCTTGCCCAGCTCCTCAGCCACGGCGTTCCCACCCTCCGGGTCCCTGGCAAGGGCATTGTCCCCTCTCTCAGCAGCGACTGGAGGAAGTCTGCCATCTCCACCGCCCAGGAGGTTGCCCAACTTGTTGGTGTAATCTTCGCCTGCTGTGTCCTGAAGGCAAAACATGACACAGTGCTTTGGTTTATTAAACACCACGGCATGTGTGGTATATTGCTCCTAAGCCATGCAGGTGCTCAAGCCTTTTCCATTGCTCAGCCCTTCAATTGTTTCTGCTGGTGCAAAAAATATGTAGCCACCAACAAAAGGGCAACCCACAAAAGCCCAAACCATGATGGTTCAGAGCACAGAAACTCATTTTTCAGGACCAACACAGCAGAACGCATCAGGTGAATTGGTAACGTGCACAGGGAGGCAAGGCTAAATGAAGTGAAACCAACCCAGCTTGGAAAGACCGAATAGACCGGCAAAGCTCAAGGATCCGCAGAAGCAGCAGCTCTTCCCGCAGGTGCCTGGTCCAAGGAGGCCTGCCTGGGGCTGGCTCCCCATCCCAGACTTGCTCCTGGAGCAGCTGCCACCTGCAGGACTGGGGCACCCCTGGCTTACCTCCTGCTGGGCGCTGTGGCGGGGGGGCTCGTGGCCGGGCACCTAAACACATCCAGGAGACATCCGATCAGTGATTGGTATGCCTTGCTGGGCGAAACCGCCGGGGTTTGGGGTTTGAGTACCTGTTGGGTGGGTACTTACGGGGTGAGCGCAGGCGACGGCCCAGAGGAGCAGCACCAGGAAGGCAGCCCTCATGTTGGATCTGGTCTGCGCAGCTGCAACAGGGAGCAAAGCATTTGCATGCTAGAGCAAAGCATTTGCATGTGCCCCTGGCTGTAACTTGCCCCCACAAAGCCCTTCCAACTGGTACAGCTTTGCCATCCCGGCACATGGTGCTCAGCCTGGCAGGCCATCAAACAAACAAAGGGATTCGTCTTTGTGCCACCTCCTGCCATCTCCTGTGCAGGAACTTCTCTTTAGTTTGGGATTTGAAATATCTGGATGTGTTCTTGCAGATTTTGTGTCTAAGCATCCTTAAAGAGTGGGAAATGTCCTCCAAATGGCCTTGTTCCCATGGTAATGTCACCCACCGCCCAGCAGAGCTTGGTGGCCATGACATGTACTGGCACCTCAGGAGGGCAGCACTGTGAGACCGTGGGCTGCAGAGCTGCGCCTCCCACCTGGCGTGGCCCCCACAGCCCCGTGAAACCTTCCACCGCCCCAAAGTAGAGCACCCCAGTAGGAAAACCCCACAGAGAGCTGCATCCCCAGCGCTCGCTGGGTCGGCCTGGCATCCCAGTGGCACTGCTGACTGCGCAGGCAGGTGAAGCAGCGGGGGGCTTTCCTCCAGCTCTGCTCTCGTTTCCCAAGTCCCTTAAGCAGCCCAGCACCGCATCCCCACGGGGCACGCTAACCACCCTGCACATCACCCTGCGCCTGAAATGTGCCGGAGCAAAGAGCCACACTTCTGATTTCTTCCCTTACAGAGCAACACCTGCATCCCAGCTCACACGTCTCTCCTGCTTTCTACCAAAACTCGCAAGGAAATCTACACCACCCATCCCCAAACGTTGCCATTTTCACTCCAGGCAATGCCAAAGTAACCCAAAGAAACCAAATCCTTTACCTCGAGGTGTGGTGCAAGCCGGCGTCTCCTCCAGTGCTCGGGATGGGGCAAGCTGGCTGCCTGCGTTGGGATGCCCTGGGCTGTATGCCCCGGTGCGGCCGTGCAGGCATTTAACCACTGGCTGGTCGCCCCGGGGAAGGGGGGCCCGCCAGTGGCCCCGCCGGGCAGCGCTGCCACACGCGGAGGTGTCGCCGGGAACTGGCCTCCCACGCTTCCTCCGGCCTCCGCCAGGACGCCGGCCCTAAAAAAGCTCCTTGTGGTTGCAGGATGACGAGATGGGCTCGCAGTTAATGACTGACTGCACTGGCCCTGTGTTTTGACTGCTAAATTTATTCCATTCACACACTTCCCGCCGTGACACACACACACAAACAACTACGGCGTCACCCACACCGAGCACCGGACCCCATCCTGGGGGTGGCATCCTCCCAAAGCAGGCGCTTGGGAGTGGCGTTTGCCCCGTGCCATGGGGCTGAAACCCACATGTGGGACCATTCCCCTGCCGGGACTCAGCCTTGCCCTGCGCCTGGGGCAGGAGCACAAAACGCTGTGCTAGAAGGAGAGGACGTGCCTATTTTCATGCTCACACACACACTCATGCAAGGGAGAAAGGAAATATTAAACAGAGGGGCACAGGGAGGATCCCACCCCCTGCACGGGGGGAGTGTAGCACCCCCAGAGCTTCTTCCAGCTGCTGGCCAGGGGATGAAAACTCTGCTCTGGAAAACACGGGCAACAACACATGCACACGTGTATGGGTGTGTATATGCATGGGCCTGTATGTGCAATTATATATGTGAATACATATACACGCACCATGCATACCCCAGGGTTTCTTGGTGTAGCAGGGACTACCTGCTCCAAACAACACACAGGTAGCCCCGGCTCGCTCGCAGACAGTACGAGAGGGAGTCTGTAAACCTCCCTGCGTGCACCCGCGCACACCCCCCAACACAGCTCATCCGCACCTCTCCGCCCGTGTGGTTTAGGACAGGACAAGCACACCCCAGCCCTACACCTGGCTTTTCCCTCTGCCCCAGCCTGGGCGGAAGGAAGGCGACTTCCTTGCCCGTATTTGGCCATTGCTAAATCCTCCGTGCCCGCAACCCCCCTTCCCTGCTAATAAACCCACGCCACAAGTACAAATAGGTTGCTTTGAAGCAGGCGATGCGTCTCTGCTCTGCAAGCTGGCTTCTTCCCGCAGCCAAGCCGCAGGTAATGGGCATGGCGACAGGGCGAGTGGGCCAGGAGGAGGGTGCCTACGGGTGTTTTATTGGGGGGAAGTGTAAATGACGGCATTGATGCTCTGCGAGGAGCATTGGCACGTCCTCCCCGGGTGGAAGGAGGTGTTCCGGCTGTCCTGGGTAGAAGAAAGAGGCCTTCAGACAGCAGAGCCCTGCTCCAGGGAGCTGCCGTGGCAGGGGAAGCCCGTGAAACGTGGATCGCCTTCAGTGGCAAACAGCTCCTGGCCTGCCCTGCTGTAAACCATAGTCACCTGCCATGGGCCCTTGGTGCAGGGACCCAAATTCCCGGGGGTAGGGGGGGCGCACAGCCCAGGGGACATGGCGAGGGGTGCAGGTTTACAAGGGTTCACAGGAGTTGCTGGCACTGCAAAATAAGTGACTTAAGGGAACTTGAGTGGGGTCAGGATTGAGCCAGGGCTCTGTAAACTGCAGATTATCTGAATTTGTCCAGGATGTATCATCCACAGACAACAGCATCCAGAAAGCATCCTTGTGCTGTGACACCACTGCAGCTCAGCAGAGCATCTTGTAAAACCAGACATCTCAGTCTGCTGTTGTGAATGACTGCTTAACTTCATCCCCAAAATCTCCTGCCTTTTCATAAATCACTTGGTTGGAAAATACCTCTAAGATCATTGAGTCCAGCCACACCTGTCCACCACTAAACCATGTCTCCAAGCACCCCATCTACCCGTCTTTTAAATACCTCCAGGGATGAGGACTTGACCACCTCCCTGGGCGGCCCATTCCAGTGCCTGATAACCTTTTCGGTGAAGAAATTTTTCCTAGTATCCAAGCTAAACCTCTCTTTTCCCCGCATCATTCCCAGCCAGGGGCCCCTGCCTGTCTGCCCTGTGAGGACCGTGCAAGGACCACGCAGGTGCTGACTCCAACGAGCATCATTTTCCCCCTTCCTCCTGCCCCCTGTGCAGGGAGGCCTTGCTGCCACCCCAGCCCCGCTGCTCACCCCACAGCCCCTCGGCCTTGAGACAGGCACCATCGAGCTACTCGGTCTCAGGCACGCACACGGCTTCGGCTGATGTTTTCCCTCTTCTTCCCTACCCGACCCCTGCCGCAGGTACTGTGGGACATATTTTCCTCTCAACCTGTGACAAAATTATACCCCTGTCCCCAGCCAGACATGAGTTCACATTGCTAACCTTTTTTAGGCACCTCCAACAATTACCATGTTTTGTTGTTCTTTTTTTTTTTTAGTCAAACCTGCATTTAACTCGGCCCCCAAAGTCCTGGTGCTGCCTTGCATCCAAGCGCCGCTGTGCGAGAAGGGGATAAACACCAAGCTGTGTGTACCTGCCTTTTTTATAACATGTGTCACTTGCTGCCCCACCGGCCACCTGCCCCGAGGTCACCTCCCTCTCCTCCGGTGGCCCCAAAATGGCCATGGCACCAGTGCACCCAACAGCGCTCGCTGCCAGCACCCCGACCTGCCCCCAAGTCCCTGCAACCTCCAAAAGCCCTGGGTTGAAAGACCAAGGTCTGTCCCCCGAATCCCTTCCAGGGAGCATCCCACAGCACCAGCCAGACTGCTCCAGCAGCTCTGCCTTTGTTTTGCAAGGAAAGGAAACCCTAGCCCACACACTGTCACCTTACAGTAAGCCTTTAAAAAACCCCAACAAACCAAACCAATAATATTTAGGACTATTGTTGTTACACCAGAGGTGAGAAATGGACTGAGGGTGGGGGAAGCAGCTGTCTGACCAGTGTTTTAAATGCCACTGAGCATTTCCCCAGGTCCTACTCTCCCGAGATGCTCGGTCCCTGGAGATGGCCGGGACAGGAAGCAGTGGGGCAAGGAAGATGGGGGAAACCTAGCCAGGCTCCAGTTGGCACCCACAGGCTACGAGGGAGGAGGTGGCCGAGTCAAAGATGGAAGGACTGGCAGGGCTGGTAAAAAGAGGCAAGAATATCACTTTTCTGTTTGACAAGCTGGACTGTGCGGTGTTCATGAGGACAGAGAAAAGATATGAGCGCAGATAGCAGGAGGGATTAGGGATGCCAAAACCAAGATAGAAGTTGGTGCTGCGGAGAGCAGGCTGACGGTGGAGGCACAGAACAGCTGCTCTCCTCCACCAATCGAGACATCTCAGCATTGAAAACTCAAGAAATTAATATTGTTCCAAAACCCCACCGATCCCTCTTTTTTTTCAGTCGGAGGTATTTTCATAGTATTTATGTTGTTGGTGCGCTTCTCTCCTGGTTACACCTATGTGTTCTGACAGCAGCATCAAAAGGAAAAGGATCAATGAGTGAACTGGAGCAGGAGAGACCAGGATGAGAGCAGAACTCAAGGCACACATACTCGGCCCTTTCCCAAACACACAACACCAGCTCCACCTTACAGTCAGATCCAAATCCATTTGCTGAGCACTTACCAGTGATGGGTGCCACAACACAGCGCTGCGTTTTCAGCTGGAAGCAGGCAGGAAGAACCCTTGCCTCCTAAATATTTGTTTCCCCCACACATGCCACGTTAGCGCCCAATCCCAAGGGATTCATTCCCACACTGCTCCTCCAAGACAGGGTGCTCAGCCTTGCAAACCAGCCAGGTTCCCATGTCGCTACCTGCTTTGCAGGGGGACAGACCACAGCCGGTGGCTGCGGGCACGGGGCAGGGGGGAGAAGCAGCCTGGCTTTGGCTCCTCCACACGTGCAAGGGATCTGAGCAAAGGCGCCATGCCTGCTCCCTGAAGTCTGAGTAAATGTTACCTGTGGTTCGTAGCATTAATGTAGTAGCTAACGATAACACTTTAGGTGTTTGAAGAACAGCATTCATATTTCAACTCCTCCTGGCAGCAAGCCTCAAATTTAGAAACACTGTGATATACGGCAGATCGAAGCTACCATCGTGTTCCTCACAGCGCAGAGGTGTGCATAAGTTTGGTTTATGTTAAGCCTTTAAAATTTGCTGTTTCTCCTGACTGAAAAAACTACATCATAGGAGCCCGAGTCCCGAATTACAGACACACACAGGGGCCCCCTAATGCTAGACCCTTGCACAAGACCAACAGACCTCTTCCCTTGCCCCCTGACAGCACAGGGGTAAGATCATTAACCCATCCTTACGTGTCAGCCATGAAGTTTCCTTTACAGCCAGAGAAAACAAGCACTTTTAAGGCACCGATCATTTGCCCTATTTCAGGCTGAAATGCATCGCAGACTGTTTGAAGTCTCCGTGACGCTGCCGAAGGATGGCGACCTGCATGCTGATCTTGTCCTACCAACAACACGCACCATGTTCTTTCCCAACACACATGCAAGGCAAGTTCTCCAAACCCCTCTCTCCCCACCTCCTGCACCAGCCTCATGCTCCCTTCACTTCCATTTCTGGCATTTTTATGCTGCCCTCCTCTGAGCAACAAGCTCCAGGCTCTTTGCAAATGTTTTTTCCTGAGAAGAAAATGCCAAGCAGAGGCACTTGTCAAAACCAGACTTGTGTGGCCGCCCCCGTCTCTCTGGGAGGCTGCAGGCTGGGCTCTGCGCAGAGAGAGGCGATTAACTCTCGAAATTAAAAACAACTATGGGAGTAACAATGTGATCACTTTTTCCAGATGCAAGATGTGCCTAGCAGGTGCCAGCTCCATTTCTTTTACGGGAGCCAAAAGTGCTAATTGTGAATAATTGGGTACACTCCTTTTGCCAGCTGCTGCTTTTCGGGCACACTGAGCCACCACATGCAAAAGCCCCTTCTCAAATGTCTGCAGCAGCTGGGAAGTACAAACAGAGGCTGCTCAGCCCCTTGCACCTACATCTTTGGGGACAGGACAAGACCAGTCCCTCCACAGCCCCCATCCCTCCCCAC